AGAGCCATTGCTTCTAGAAAGCCCTAGAACAGTCCTCTCCGTTGGATTCGAGGCAGAACATTATAGCTCTAAAGCGTATGTTGAGAGAGATGAATATATGTGACACCACAGAGGTGTTCCTTTTTATTCCTCTCTTGTAGGGAAATTTGACACTTCTGAAATGGAGTGGGATTCGGCAGGGAGTTTTATAAACCTCAGGAGCTTTGATGGTCTGCATTGAAGAGAAGGAGTCAGAATCTCCTGAAGAGGGTCTTCTACCACTGTCTACTCAGCCTTAAGTTAATTTGGGACTGAGAGAGTTTCTTTCACATCTCTGTTCAAGAAAGTTTTAATGTTGAGACTTCCTTCTTCTCTACTAAGCTAAATCATACTCAAAATGTAAGATATCTCTTAAACCAAATACTCTAAGATTCATCTCCTTTACTCACAAGATGTCTATCATCTACCAAATTTCTTTTTTTTAATATTTTATTTGTCTTTATATTTGTTGCTTTCATTAGATTTAAATTTCTGAAGACAGAAATAGAGTCATCATTTATCATTATCATCACCATCATCATTGAATAGGAGGAGAAGGAGAAAAACTAAACTAAATAATTTGGTGTACATTACCATAACCCAGTCAATGTGCTTAGCATTTTTTTAAAAAATCACATTTAATTATCAGCACAAAAGTATGAATTAGATCCAGGTATGTATTCTTTTTTCTTTGCTGTCTCCCATGGGCTCTGGCGTGGTTCTGATCACTGTATACTCTTGCATTGAACTTTTATAAAAGAAAATGGAAGAAAAGGGGTCGAGAATAGGCTAAGGATCACAGATTGGGGCCCAGTGTTTTCTAATCAACACTGCACCTGAATTTGAACTTCAGGTTTTTTTTAACCTATTTGAGAAATTACTTGATTATCTGAGTCTCTATTTTATATATGAAAGATTATTAATCATAACATTTATCAAACAGAGTAACTGAGAGAATGAGGTATGTACTTAAGCATTTAGTTTTCTTTATAATTAATAGGCACTTTTTTCTCCAAGATGGAGTATCACTCTGTATCCCAGTTCGGAGGGCAGTGGCTCAATCTCATCTCACAGCAACCACTGCCTCTCGGGTTCAAGAGACGCTCCTGCCTCAGCCTCCATGAGTAGCTGGGACTATAGGCACATGCCAACATGCCAAGCTAATTTATGTTACACGTATTGTTCAATAGTAAATGCCATAAAGAAAAAGAAATAAAGTTAGAAGGTGTCCACATCAGAATTTGGTAATAATCTCCCTGACCATAATCTCAGACTCTATTGGTTATGAAGCTAAATTTATTGCCTCTACTTGAAAAACAACAACAAAAATGACAAAAAAATCTTAAATTATAGTTTTTAAGTCTGATGATTCCAAAATATTTTTAAGTTATCCTTCCCATTTTCCCAAATCCATAACTTGTACATCATATTCAACTTATTTGGAAGGATAGCATGACGCTAATTAGCTAACACTCAGGGAGTTTATTAGATATCCTCACCTTGAAAGTCTTGCCATCTCAGGACAATTCAGAGGCAGTAACTCATACTTCTCTATGTGGCCAAGATGAAGAATCTCATGATTACTTTGAATAGTCATGAGGAATATTTATTTTAAAATGCCATATGATATCTTCTTTACTAAACCTCTGAGAATAAAATTTTAAGCAGATTTGTTTTGATGATTTAGATAATTACAATTCTATTTCCTTAATACTTTAACTTCTAATGAGATACTTTTGATGAGTTTTAATAGCTCCAAGTCCTAGATGCATATTAATCTTGCCAAGCAAGTATTAGATGATATTGTTACCATCAGTAAAACACCATCACATATTTTATTTTGTTTTCCAGCAGTATTGCTTTCTGAAGTTCTATGAGGAATTGTTATTTTTTCTATGGATTATTTTCCAAAAGAGTTTGAGAACACTTTCAAATACGTTATAGTAATGAAAGAATAAGCCCCATTAGCATAATATCTCTGTATAACTAAAAGATATTCTACTTCTAGACACTAGTTCATCTGCTTTAAGTAAGAAGATTTTTAATATTGCCAAGGAAAATATGTGAGTTTACTATGGTTTGGGTATAATTTGTTTGCCTCCATCAAAACTCATATTGAAGTGTCATCCTTATGCAGTGACGTTGAGAGGGGAGACCTATTAGGAGGTAATTGGTTAGGGGTACAGATGCCTCTGAAGGACGTGATTCTGTTCTAACAGGAATTAATCAGTTCTCCTTCCTGTGAAGCTGGATTGTTCTTGGGGAAATGGATTCGTTTCCACCAGAGTGAGTTTGTCATAAAGCCAGGGCACCACTTACGTTTTCCCATTTTTACATGAGTCCACTTCCTTTTTGTCCTTCTCCACCATCTCCACTTGTAATACAGTAAGAAAGCCCTTGCTGGGAGTCAGGGTTAGGTCTTTGAACTTCTTAGCCTGAAGAACCATGAGCTACTTGCAGTTTCTTTTTTGTTTAAATTATCAAGTCTCCGGTGTATTTATAGCAACATAAAGTGGACCAAGACAGTGTTTTAAAAATACCGCAGTTCACATATACTACTTTTAGTATATTCTTTTTTACCTTGAAGTTATGTAGAAATTGATTAAAAATTCATGAACACTTTCATATCCATACTTATATAATAAACAGATAAATAAAGCCACTCATAAGTTTACTAATGTAAATTCTACAGGATAAAACTATAATTTTTAATAATTATAATTTTCTTTAGTATACTGGTGTCTCATAAAGCCAACGTAAGTATGGAATAAAATAGCACCTTTAAATTGCTTTAAACTGGTGCATATTAAGTGCTAAATAAAGTTAGCAATTGCTGTTATGATTGATATCAATTAATTAATTCAGAAATATTTGTTGAGTGCTTGCAATATGCAAAGCATTGTTACTGAAGCTAAAAACATGGTAGCCAATAAGCCAAGCAAGATACTTTATCTGTAGAGTTTCAATTATCTTAAGAATATTAATAAATTAATAAGCACTAATAAATAGTATAGTGACAAACGTAAGAAATAAGTAAGAGGTGATGTGTTAGGGGAAGATGGGCAAGGTGGTAGCTTATATTGGATTGTAAGAAAAAGCCTGGCTGAAATATAATATTTGGGTACATGTGGGAATATTCAGATTCCCTCCTGGAGAAGATCTGGAGGCAGATCATTCTGGAAAAATAATGCAGTAAGAAAAAATTTCCAAGATAAGCATTCACTTTTATTTTCCCAGAATCAATATGAATGTCACTGTGCTTTGAAGAATAATCAAGGAAAAGAATGATGAAAGATTCGGGAAAATGAGCAGGGGTCATACCAAGTAGGGAAGTGTAGTATAGGGTAGGTGTCATAAAATGTATTATGAAAAGATTTTGGTGATATTTCAAAAGGGTAATAATGCTTCCTAATGATAACATGAAAAGATGGCTCTGGCTGCTGTAGGGAGAAAATATAGGCTTGGAGTTGGGAGAAGAGTGAGAAGGAGGCAAATTGAAGACAATTATACTGCATTAAGGTTTAGGAAGGTGCTGAAGGAATCACAGATTGAGGTTGTTTTCCAAGTTTTCAGTTGAACAATTTTAATATTGTGGCATTACTTAATGATATAGGGGAGGACAGAGACCGATTTGGGAGGATTGGGATACAGAATGAAAGCTTTCCTTTGGCTCTGTTAATGCTCAGGTGGAATTATATGAAATCTAAGTAGAGATTTCAAGCAGGCATTTGAATTAATAAATCTGGAGATTAGCCAAGATATTGCAGATGGAGATGTAAATGTTGAGTCATCATCATTGAGCTGGAAGGCAAGGGGCTGACAGAGCTGAGATTTTAATGACAATGAATATGATTCATTGTGATAATAAAAAAATTATGGCTATCTTGAAGGCCAACATTTATATCATGTCTTGCAGTTTCTGTGCACAAAACTGTATTTTTTGGTAGATCCCAGGTTATTACTAGATGAATTTCACTAGCTAGTGATTCATTCCTGGCCACCATCTAACAAAATACTTTAACCAAATTATCATTTCTATAAGGATTCAAAATGACTTTGGATATCTGAGGTTGCTTATGGATACTTGAAATGGTTAAATGTCTTGCATATCAATGAATTTACTCCTCTTTCAAAGATTTTTCAACACTCATTCAAAGTCTACCTTAACAAAATCTCTTAAATCCTCAAAATATTGTTTTTATTAAAATATGCCTTCATATACCATTTGCACTTAAATTACTATGTGTGTGTCACGTTATCAACATGATTACTTATTCATTCAACACAGATACACCTACCTCTCCCCCGCCAAACACACACCAGTAAAGATGGCTTTGCCTTAAGACCAGGAAAATCCTCCCCTTTACATAACTGTCTTTTCCACTGATTCTATATATAGTCTGTTGCATCTGGTTTTAGGGGGGTATTAATTAATATAATAACCTTGAATCTGTTTCCAGAGACTCTTATTCAGTATCCAATGTATTCCTAATAATAGTGGTGTTCCAGAATCACACTTTGAGAAACAATATATTATTCTCACAGGAAGATCATCACACTGAAATTTTTCTTATATTTCTAAAAATTAGATTATTAAGTCATTTTCACCTATTGGAAGGTTCTTGGACCTTATCAAATACAGGAACCTATGCAACACTGTCCAGATCTTGTTTTAAGATGGGGCTTATTCCTCAGCTGCTGGAAATGCTGCCAACAGACAGACCTCAGTTGTCAAGCATCTTGGAGAATTGCCTCAGATAAAGACAGTTGTCTTGCCAAGATCACATCCTCTCCCCTGGAGGTAGCCTGCCTCAAATAACTTTTTCATGGAGGAGTATTAAAAAGCACTTCATCCTAGTGTAAGACAATGTTGAAGACAGCACTCACCAAAAAAAAAAAAAAAAAAAAAAAAAAAAAGAAAAAGAAAAAAAAAGGAAGAAGAAGAAAGAAAAGAAAAAGGCTTACACACCAATCTCCATCTCAGTATTTATTTCTGGGAACCTAAATTAAGCAGATGCTATCTGAAAAACAGCCATTATTCATATTTGTTTAAGACAGTTCATTGACTAAAATATCTAAAAGAAGAGAAAGAGTGTGAGCTCCAACTATGTCCTATGAAAAGTAGCATGTTTAAGATGCAGGGGTTAAATTCTCCATGCCACTCCGCAGCAAGATGAGTTCTAGAAGTGAGAGAGAACTCTCAGAGTTCAAGAATTTGTTATGTAGCAGAACTTGATGAGAGCACGAACCTATTCAGTAGATATTGAGGGGGTCTGGAACTTCCTGATGTCAAGCTGGAGATGTAAGTTTAGTTTGTGGTGGTTTTCTTCCTCCCACTTCATGCATAGGTGGACTGGATAGATTTAAGAGTATAGGAGCAAACAAAGGTGGCAGCTATAAAATTTGTCAGGGTTTGTGATTTATAGCAATGTCAGAATTGAGGTAGGTAGTGATTACTTAAATCAATATCAGGGAGATCATTGCAATATATAACAGAATATATATGTATACCTCTACCCCTCTATTCTGAAGCTTGACATCCCATTATTTGAAATTTACTTTAAGACACAAGGAAGATATATAAGTTTGAACTCATTAGAAATTAATTGTAAAACAAAGTGAATACATTACATTGTTAGGCAAAGTAGGGGATACTGCAATATAAGCCATTGCCCGATCACGGTGAAGATTGTTCCAAATCTTAGATGTATCCAAATGCTTATGCTTCAAAAACCATTCCATACACATGTGGCTTGCCTCTTCCATACCTTCTCCAGCCATCATGAAGAATGGATGCAATGTCCTTCATTCAACTTCTTGGTTTGCTGTCTAATAAAAAAAAATGTAGCAAAGAATGCTAAATAACTGTAATAAATGGTAGGAAGTAATAGACATTGTAAAGGAGCAGCAGAGAACTCAGTGAGGAATAATTCTTTTACCTGGAATAAATCAATGCAAACATTATGAAGGAGTAGCTTTTGACCCAGTTTTTGATGGATAGGCAATAATTATACATGCAAAAGTACACCAAGATTTTTTTTTTTTTTTTTTTTTTTTGAGTCGGAGTTTCGTTCTTGTTACCCAGGCTGGAGTGCAATGGCGCCATCTCGGCTCACCGCAACCTCCACCTCCTGGGTTCAGGCAATTCTCCTGCCTCAGCCTCCTGAGTAGCTGGGATTACAGGCATGCGCCACCATGCCCAGCTAATTTTTTGTATTTTTAGTAGAGACGGGGTTTTGCCATGTTAACCAGGATGGTCTCGATCTCTTGACCTCCCTCGTGATCCATCCGCCTCGGCCTCCCAAAGTGCTGGGATTACAGGCGTGAGCTACTGCGCCCGGCCCTACACTAAGATTTTTATCTGCTTTCTAGAGAAGATGCAACGAGCTATAATTTTACATACTTTTTGTGTTTGCCCAGTATTTCAGGTATATTATTTGATGCTATGAATGCTTCCAAGAACGAATTTCGTAAGATTCCTGTCTTCATGGTGCTTATATCATGGTGTAATGTAATACCAAACAAATTACTAAGGAATAATCAATAATTTAAAAACAATGTGGATATAAATTATGTCATCTATTTCTGAAGATTGGTATCATTAAAATGAATTATTTTAGTGTTGGTCATCACTCAATGTTTGGCATACATAAAATTAGATTTCTTGAGAATAATAAGACAGATTTGTGTTCAGTGCTCTCTGTTCTACTCTGTGAAAGAGAAGGTGGAAAACAGAATTGGGCAGAGGTAGAAGATGGGCTGCACTGCAAGCTTAATGAAGGATTTAGCCATCAGCACAGGAAAGTCTGGACTTCGGATGTCACTTCTGAGTTGTCCCATTCATGCAGAAGCTTAGGGCCTAGGCTTTGGGAGCCTATATTGGTCCAACTTTGAATTCGTATTGCTACCTAACGTTGAACAAGGAAACTGATTTCAGCTTTGGGAAATTCTGGAAAGCGACCCAACCTTGAGCTGTCTCTGCAGGCAACTCTTGCAGCAGCCGGAGGAATGAATGCCCTAGTTTTGAAGGGGACAATAGGGTAACACTCCACAGCCTCCTATTGCCTTTCCTGTTGCCAAAAGTCTCACTTCTGATTATGCCTGATGTTTCCTTAGTATAACTCTAGAAGAAGAGTTCTCTTCTTCATCATTTCCTGATTGGGGAAATTTACGGCCATTATGGAATGAATCATGTTCCCCCAAAATTCGTATATCAAAACTCTAATTCCCAATGTGACTGTATACTTGGAAGTTGAGGTCAGAGGTCAGGTTAGTTAAGACCCTAAGCTAATATGTCAGGTGTCCTCATAGGAAGAGGAAAAGGCATCAGGGAAGCACAGAGAAAAGACTATGTGTGAACATTGCAAGAAGGTGGCCATACTGTCTACAAGGGGCAAGGCCTCAGGAAAAAGCAAAACTGCCAACACTTTGATCTTGGACTTCCAGCCTCCAGAAATGTGAGAAAATAAAGTTCTGTTGCTTAAGCTATTCAGTGTGTGGCATTCTCTATGGCAGCCCTAGTAAACCAAGTTAGCAAGATGTCGAAGTAAGTGTTTTTATGTATCAGAAAGGTGAGCATTCAATCATCAACACAACGTTTATAGTTCCATGTTTGGATTTCTAACATCATATCTGGAAAAATTAGGGATACAAAACCTTCAGGTTCATTCTGGTTATATATATATATACACACACATACACATTTGAGATAGTGTCTTGCTATGCTGCTCAGGCTGGAATGCATTGGCTATTCACGGGCATGATCATAGCCCACTGCAGATTCAAACTCCTGGGTTCAAGCCTCCTCCAAAATAGCTGGAACCATAAGTGCACACCACAGTGACTGACTGAAAGTCTTTATGTAATGAAGATTTAAGGTTTGATTCTAAAATAAAACATGATGTGGTTTATATAGTTACTATATCTAAATTAATGTTTCTACTTCACAACCAAAATATATACTTTTTCATTAACATATATTATCAAAGTATACATGTGTTTATAATTTGCAGACATATTCATATGTAAGTATATATATATAACATATTTATACATGCACACAGAGATATGGCATTGTAATTTAGCTCAGAGCAAAATTAATGCTAATTTTTATTTAATATGCATTTTTAAAACATATTATGTCTACTGATAATATGAATTTGAATAAAGTATAAAGCACCAGGCTCAGATGTCTATGATTTAGCTGAAAAAAGAGAATCCTTAAATTTCCAACAGTGAGAATGCTGGAGTCCTCCTATCTGGTCTCTATGCAACTAGTCTTGGTTGCTCTGAGACTACCTTCTGCCTAGAAGCCAGACAATTCTTCCAAAATACTAATCAGTGCACCTTAGTTTCTTGCTTAAACTTAGTCCTATTGCCTTCAGCAGGATGGCCAACCGCGATGTACAAAGACTGTCCTGAGCTATCTCATGCTTCTGTCTCAAGCTCCATCTTGTACATCTTGATAACTCAAGTCTCTATCCCTGCTGAAATACTTGTGATTCTTTTTTAATTATTGTTATTTTGTTGTTGTTGTTGTTGAGATAGAGTCTTGCTCTGTCTTCTAGGCTGGAGTAGAATGGCATGATCTCAGCTCACTGTAACATCTGCCTTCTGGATTTGAACCATTCTCCTGCCTCAGCCTCCCAGGTAGATGGGACTACAGGTACATGCCACCACACCCAGCTAATTTTTTGTATTTTAGTTGAGATGAAGTCTCACCATGTTGGCCAGGCTGGTCTCAAACTCCTGACCTCAAGTGATCTGCCCACCTCGGCCTCCCAAAGTGCTGCGATTATAGCCATGAGCCACAGCTCCTGGCCTACTTGTGATTCTTACACAAACACATGTTGTTTCATTTATTTGTGCCTAGGTAGAGCACTCTCATTTCCCTTTGGGTAAACTCTTAATCTGATCTGTCCTGCAACCATTACACAAATGGTTCTGCTCTTAGAGCCCCCTGTTATGACACTTTGTGGTCTCACTTATCCCTTCATCCCCCTACTGCCCTGCAAGGCTTCTGTTTGCTTGTCTTTTTCCTCCTGACTCTTCTGGCACCATAGAAACCATGAAGAGACCTTAATATTCCTTTTTTTTTTTTTTTTTTTTTTAAGTTGGAGTTTCGCTCTTGTTACCCAGGCTGGAGTGCAGTGGCGCGATCTCGGCTCACCACAACCTCCGCCTCCTGGGTTCAGGCAATTCTCCTGACTCAGCCTCCTGAGTAGCTGGGATTACAGGCATGTGCCACCATGCCCAGCTAATTTTTTTTTTTTTTTTTTTTGTATTTTTAGTAGAGACGGGGTTTCACCATGGTGACAAGGATGGTCCCGATCTCTTGACCTCGTGATCCACCCGCCTGGGCCGGGCACAGTGGCTCAAGCCTGTAATCCCAGCACTTTGGGATATCTTAATATTTCTATCTTTAAGAGGTTCAGGGCACTTTGCATGCAGTAGGTTCAAAATGCAGGATATTTGATGTAAACTGAAGGAGGAATAGTAAAGCACATATGCATTTTACTAGGGGTGAAAAAATAGTGTTTTGAGGGATAGCCCATTCCTATTATTTTTAAAACATAACCACCAAATTCAAAATAAATAATTTGTGCCTTAAAAAAGGATATCCTCTTTCTTCAGACGTTCACATTGAACACTATACTGAGATTCGGGAAAGATTTAAGCACTTTCATAGTCACTAGGGGTCACTCTTATAATTTTGAATACTGCAAACCTGTGTAGGTTATTTTCCTTAGAAAGATTTAATTTCAACGCTCTCCTGGCCCTGACTCATACATAGAAATATTCCAGTAACGATACCTGATGGGTGCGTCTGTCACCTAAAGTACCTAAAAGCTTTGTTTACTTTTTTGGTTATTAATCATCATCAGAATGGTGTTTAAGAGAAGCAGCAAGATACAGTGAAACCCTGATAGTCAAAGAACTTAATGAAAATCTTCATAATATTTCATCAGTTATGTTCTCCCTAGAAAATTTCACCTTAGTATTTTTACATCAATGGTAACAGACTTTTCAGAAGGTTATGGAGAGCCTTGCTCTTGCAATGTGCAGATGAGCTTCCCGTGGATGCACCGCTAAATTACCGGCAGAAATGCAGAAACACTTGGCTTTTCTAACCACCGAGTGTCATCTCAGCAGGATTCTTAATCACAAATATGCTGAAAGAAAACCAACAGACATTTGCAAATGACAGGGGAGCAGCAAAAAGAGAAACAAATCTCTTTTTAACTGTCTGTCCTATGATCATCTTTATTCTTGTACCCACTCCCAATCCTTCCAAGTAATTAGTACATGGCAATCAATCACGGCTCTTCAGGCAAGCACCAGTTCTGGTGTATGGTGTTTGATTCACATCTCCCAGGAGCAAGAATTAAGGAGTTAGGAAAAGACAGGACAGGCAGGAAGTGGGGTAGAATAGATAGAAGGCTCAGGATGAACAGATTTACCCCTTTACCTGGCATCTGTTGCCAGATGACCAGGTGCCTGGGGTGTGTTCTCAGTAGAAAAGGTTTGGAAGAAGAAGGAAAAATTTGCCTTTAAGAAATAAGTTTGAGGATATAGGAAGATTGAGAAAAATGACCATAGGCTTGAAAGACAGACTATCGCGTTGGAACTCTATCTCAGCTACTCAAAAGCAGTATAGCCATGAGAAATTTGTAAGCTTACATTTTTCCACTTTTATAATGCGAGCATGATAAGGACAAAATACACACACACACATCTATACATATTTACACAAGTATATACATATGTGTATATGTATATGTGTATGTGTGCATGTGTGTGTGTGTGTGTGTGTGTATCTCCAAGTCTAA